GATAGATAGATAGATAGATAGATAGATATAACTTTATTTCATTCAACAAACAAACAATAATAAAACAAATAATAAAAACAACAAACATAATAATAAACACCAACAAATAACAACAATGTTGTGTCATAAACACTACCTGGGCTTTTAGTCGTGGAGGTTTCTCGGGTGGTGCTGTGGGGCAGAAAAATGCATCATACAACAAAACAAAAATCTTTAAAAGGTGAGTCTGTAAATTAATTTTAAAGTACTTACCAGGCTCACTGTCAGCTTCAGGTGGCTACACACAAAGACAAACATAGTGAGCACGAGAAGAGACAATGCATCACGTTACCAAAAGAAAACTACCACAAAGTTTTGGACCAGATTCAACTGTTTTGTAAATCCAGATTTTTTTCAGTTAGCGTAGCTTGGACACCTACCGCTGTAACCTCAACATCCTCCGGCGCCATGGGGTCCTGCAAAAGAACAGGCAGGTTCACTTTACAGATCACAGAGCTTCCCTTTGGAACTGTCATCGGGGGAACATTCATTATAAAGCTAGCGGGGTGCCTGGGGTGAACAAGTGGGTCTGTGCTGTTTAAAGGTGCGCCGATCTGCTTAGCCTCCAGGGTAGCACTGAGCTCGTCAGCAGAGGGACACACACACAAGGAGAGGGGGTTGACAAAGGTTAGCGATGCTCTGTTCCCCACCAGGAGTCTCTCCTCCTGCTCCAGCCACTTCTTATCCTCCATCATCTGCTCTTTCTGCTGCCGCAGCGTGTCCTGCATGAACTGACGCTCCTTCTGCCACAGCCGCTGGGCGTCCTCCATGCTGTTCGGTTCCACTCGCATGAATTCGCTCTCCTACGAGGAAACAAACACGTTTAAGGTTACCGAGTTTATTAAGACGCAGGTAGAACAGCAAACGGCTCAAACAAATTTCGAGAGCGGCGAGTCTTACCCCCATGCTGCGACGTCGAGGGGATCGAACAGGAAGTGCAAGAGTGTTTCTGGAGTCGACGGGGGACTGATATTCAGACGGACTGGCCAGGTCCGGGGAGCTGGCACACAGAGCCTCATTCAGCTGCGTGGGTACACACATACAGAGACGTATACGTCTATTAGACTACAAAACCCAAAAAGTAAACCAGCATCATCTGAGGTTTTTCTGAACGTCTGTACCTGGATGTGTAGCCCGATGCTGAGCGTGTTCCCAAACCGCCCTGGCATCAATCGTGACGGCTTCAGAAGAGGTAAAAATAGGTTCACAGAATCAGATTTGTGTTTTCTTGTAAAATAAAATAGTGACTTCATTTATACATACTTTGGGAGGAGGGTCTGAAAAGTTGACCTTCGGCTCAAACAATTTGGTGGAGCGTGCTCTGTCCATTTCTCTCTGTGCTTCTTGCTCCTTCTCCATCTTGTGGACGTCACTGACAGATGTGAGAGAGTTTTAAATTTGTATCATTTATATGACTCAGTCATAGCTGACTATAACCGCAGGTGTCAATCTTTTGTCACTTGTACCTGATTTTGACCACAAGCTCCGTGAAACTGGGCCTCTCTCTGGGGTCGTAGGACCAGCAGCGGGTCATGAGCGAGTACAGAGCAGGGGGGCAGTTGTCCGGTTTGGGCAGCCGGATGCCCTGCTCCAGCTGGTTGATCACGTCTTTGTTCTCCAGCCAGAAAAACGGCTGCTGGCCCTGGCTCATGATCTCCCACACGCACACGGCTGCAACGTAGAGACCACTCAGATTGAGCACATTTCAATTTGTGCCATGATGAGAGTGTGAAGGACAATGTTAAGAGAAACGCATCACCGGCTCACCAAACATCCAGACATCGCTCGATGTGGTGAAACGTCTGAAGTTGATGGATTCTGGGGCCATCCACTTGATTGGTAAACGAGTGACGGATGCTACCAGAAACAAAAGGTTTTCCAAAAGTTAGAATTTCATTGACAATAAATGTAAACTTTGCGTAAAATGTAAGGACATTTGTGTTTAGTAGATTATTTCAACGTTGTAACAATGTTTCTTGGCAATAAATGTTATACAGTTGGAAAGCCTGTTAATTTCCCTTTTAAATGGTGCCACATTTGTAAGGAACATGCATTTGTGGGTTGCGCACATGGAAAATTTGCCAAATTTTCTCTGCCAAGCAGATAACCGTTGTTATTGACATTTGTTTTAAGCTTCTGGTACTCCCAGGTGCTGAAAAATCAGGTGTCTGCTATAAGATTTATTGCCAAAAAGAATTGTTACAACAAAAAAATAATAATCTAACAAACAAAAATGGCCTTTCTTTTTGTGGCTCCATCTTATTTTTTTGACCTACAACAACTTGCAAAAAACCAAAAAACCAAAAAAAAAACCCAAAAAAGATACATACACACACACACACACACACACACACACACACACACACACATACACATATGTATATATATATAAGGTTTTGTACCTTTGTAGTATTCCTCAGCCTCGATGTATCTGGACAGACCAAAATCCCCGAGCTTCACACACTCGGGGCTGGCGACCAACACGTTCCGCACTGCAATGTCTCTGAAATAAGATAAAAATAAACAAATTAAATGTACAAAATCAAGCTAGTACTAAACCTAATAAACACAATTAATTATTAATTAATAGTGTTTTTCTCTGATTCGATGTATGTGTGTTTGTGTGTGAGAGAGCATTGTTTTTGTGTGCCTGTCAGTAAAATATCTCATGAACCACTGGATGATTTTTATTGCAACTTTCAGGAAATAATCATTGGATGTACCTCTCAGACTGAATAAATTTTGAAGTTAACACCAATTCAACACCTAAGCCAAATAACCCTAGAAACTACAAAAATGGTCACAATTCAGACAATTTTACAAATTTTGACCTAAAATTTGGTGTGGTTGTAGCTGAGAGTCATTCACAACATATTCTGAGCACGAGCTTGTACATAACATTTAAAAATTTGATCAAAACGCCCATGACTGTCATTTCTCAGCAGGAGATGATCTTTGTGATGTGTATTCCTTCAAGGAACGCCAACCCTTGTTTATTTTTTTTTTCTCTCACCTGTGAACCACGCTGACCCCTTCAAGGTAGACGAGGGCTTTGCAGATCTGTAGGCTGAACAGAACCAGAGTTGTGTTTGTCAGCTTGTTCTGGTTCTGGGTCAGGTAGTTTCCAAGCTGTGGGTGGGAACGACAGGAACACAGTCAGTCAGGTGAACTTAACATCAGCACTGGCATAAAAAAACAACAATAAAATATTAGATCTGCCAATAAGGCAACACAAACATGCCTAAATCTAATTCATCATTTCTAGAGAAAACACGGGCACAAACCTCTCCGTACTGATAGAGCTCCATGACGATCCACACTGGATCCTGCTCTATGATTCCAATCAGTTTGACGATGTGAGGGTGGTCCAGGGTCTTCATAATAACTGGAAAACAAAGATCACAATCCACAAAGGTTGCTGTCATGTAACATCCTTTCTGTGGTATGACAGAAGCAATAGTAATTGTTACGAATTAATTTTAACATTTGTACCTGCTTCACTCATGAATTTCTCCATGACTTCAGCTGAACAGTCCTTGCAGGTCTTAATCGCCACGTTAATCCGCTCACTTTTCTGTTTGAATAAAGAATGATTTAAAAAAACAAACAAACAGTTGCTAAGATTTTTTTTCTGCACTGAAAACATGTCTCTCCTTTAATCTTTTATTATCTAGTTCAATAGAGTGAAACCTTTCTGCAACAGTACTGCATCAGTGTGAATATGCATAAATATCAACTAGTGATCGATACATCAATACTGAAATATCGATACCACTGATACCAGATCTTTATGCTCTAAAACTGATTCTAAAATCAAAATATAATTGAAACTTTGATACTTCATTAAGTAACTAAAAAAGATTTAAGTTTCATCTAAAACATATTGGTCGGTGGGAACTACTTTTTCTTCCGCCTGGGTAATAAATAATCAAAGCAGCATGTGCTGAGTCAGTAGATGTTACATGTTCAGTATTTTCATGTTAATATGATCGTGTAACATAATTAAGATGCCAGTTTTCATTTTATAGTAGTTCTTAATAACATAACACTAATTTGTTAATGGTTTTATTGTTTTAATTTAGTTAGTGTTTGAAACACCATTTTCACATATTTTGAGTTTATGATTGCATTTTCTGTTTTTTTCTGTTGTATTGGCTCAGCTTTACGCTGTTTCTGAGTTTAAAATAGAGAAAAAATATAATCTGATGTCTTGTATTCTTTTTAAAGTTATGATTGGAAATACACTACTTTGTTACATTTACCAGACACATTTGGTGTGTTTATTTGAAGCGGTATTGCCAATACCAGCTTTTTACCAGAGTTTTACTTGGAATTCGAAAGGAAATCGATGGTATTAGACATCGCTAATAACAACAGGCTGTACCTGTCAATGTGTGGATTTAAGGAGTTTCATGTGTGGCTTGAGGGAGATCACCACTCTGGCTGGTTGTTTCAAGGATTTGGAGACTGTTAATCCAGTTTGCTTGGGGGCTCGTCCGGGATGTTTTGAATTTAAAAAATAGAGGCTGAACTCAACACTGACTAATTTAAAAGATTTTTAGTAAAATCAACAATCTATGTTAATAATTCTTTACAAAACAGCCCAATCTGGCAGTTATACTGGTAATCTGCTTCAAGGCAAGAACACTTTAAATCCACACCTTCACAGATACAGCCATTTTATATTAAAGCAGACCCAGACTGATGCAGTATGTAGGTTTTGACAGTGAGAATGCATTATCAGTATGAATATCTAAACAGGATCTTACAGATTTTTTGTACACTCCCTCGTAGACTTCTCCAAAAAAGCCCGCCCCAAGAATTCGTCCCAGAACAATGTTGTTTCGATCAATCCCATACTTCACAGCTAAAGAGCAACGATTACAGTTGTTACAGATTATAATATAATTCTACTGGTATTTTTTCTGAAAAAACTAAAAGTGATAGCTTCAGACAAACCTGATTTGGGCCTCTCATCAAGAATCTCACAGTAGATATCAGATCCTGAAAACGTCAACAAAAATGAGCCACCTTAAATGAGTATATATTTCTTTGTAATTGCTGGAAATAGATTGCAGTTCATGACTGTTAAGGTAAATTATTTTAAAAAGCATCTTACCCATACTATGTCGGGATGAAGAGTTGTCTTTGCTGCTCCCAAGAACAGACAGAATGACAAAAAAACAATGTCAGAAATGTTCAAATTATGACTTTTTAGTGCAAAAATAATCATTTAATAAAATGATCTTTCACCTTATAGGGATGTCAGGGAGGGAAATCCGTGCACTCTTAGGATCTAGTTTAGAAAAAAAACATCATGTCATGAAAATATTCTCAAAGAACAGGAATATGAGACACCAAGTGTAAAATAAAATGTTTAAAAAAGTGTTACCAACAAATGTTCATCAACAAATGTTAAAATTTACATTTACGTATTTTAGAATGGAACACAGCCTTCTGCCGTTGGTGCGTGGCTTTTGCTATGACATCATCATACTGTGGAAATAGCAAATGCTAACGCTAATAATGCTGCTAGTGTAGACATCAAACTTGCAGTTGCAGCCGGTCTGAACACAGGTACCATCTATATTGTTTTCAATGAACACATTTACATGTAACATTTAAATTTAACTTTTAGTAAAAATCAACAAAATGTAAAAAGAGTGAGCTAAATAATGAAAATGTTTTAGTGACATCTAGTGCCCCATACAGGAATAGTTCAGATCTTTACAAACAATTAATATTTTACCTGTTCTGAATACTATATTTGAATTGTTGTGTGACTGAGCTATCTACGATATGTTCATTTCCTCTAAACCCCACTAAGCATCTGAACATAAAACATGAAGTGCTTATTACTGAAAGTTTTAACCCAGTAAAGCTGAGGGGGAAAAAGTTTAATTCTACACCTTTATTAGGTCTGTAGATAATACTGTCCTCTGTGTCGTTTTCCAGGCGACAGTATCCGTCAATCAGATCCATCATATTTTCTGCCACGGGCACCGAGGCCACACTGATCGATAAACGCTACCAGAGAGGACACAAAAGGCAGGACATGAAACAAAGAGCGATGGTTCAAATTCCCTGACCAAACAAACCAAACAGCTCACCTGTTTGGCCCCCTCGATGTCGATGTTCAAAAGCGCCTTGGTGTCGCTCTGTGGTAGGCACTGAATTTTCTTTATCTGTTTGAAGTCTGCTAGGAACACAGCCTGGGGCACAAAAGTTAGAGAAGCAATGAGTTATTTAGGATGAAACCTAGTTTTGACATGATCTACTAATTAACGTAGATTTATTTCTGTACATGTTAGGATTTGAAAATGTGTTTCAGCCAAATTATTCCCTTCACCTTCAATTGCATTTATGTCAGTTCCCAAAATGTTTCAAAACAGAAACAGTTTTCTTGGGTCACTCACTGGAATTTTGAGCATATTGCAAAAAAATTGTTATAATTTTACTCTCAAGTTGCGTTTGTCTAACGAGTCCGGAACCAGTCAGAAAACTCCGATAAATTTAAGACAACTTTAGGAGTGCGAGGAAACCATATTGTGAAACAACAAGTAATTAATTGCATTAATTTGAGACGTGATTAAAACCATTTGTGACCAAACTGAGACAATAACAGTGAATTTGCACATCTCCAAGTGCAAATGTGTGGATTTTCTCACAATTTTGTGTCTCTAATGAATTAGCAACAGTCTTAACTCAGTGAGCATCAAGTTTTACTTTTAGGTTGTTTAAAGTTTGCAACAATTACACTTTTTTTCAGCCATTTAAAAACTTCTCCATGTTCTACCGCTTATCCATAATCGGGTCACGAGAATATTTTCAAACTTACTGCCGCATCCTTCTGAGTGCGCTGACGGATGCCTCTTCCTCCAATCACCAGCTCCACTGAAAGACTCCAACTTTGCTGGTGTAGAACAAAAACATTTATAAAATCAAACACATGCATTAGGCGGGGCTTGACAGTCGTAGCGTTTAGGGCTTAAAGGAGGTTATTTGACACTCACCACCAGTTCGCAACGGAAGACCTCCTCATCATAGCTGCTAAAGGTTTTGAGGGTTTCAAAAAACTTAATCATGCAGTCGTCCTCTTTGAGTGCTGCGTACTGTTGAAACGTTTGTTGGATCATCTTCCGTAGCTGCTTAGGCTGGATCACAAAAACATCAAAATAGTTAGAAACTCGTTGTTTCTGCAACTGATAGGAGCTCGTTTAACAGGATTCACAGTAATGGAGGAAACATGAAACAGTACTGACGAACCTAAAAGTGGATATAGATATTTACCTTCATGCTGTTCATTAGCTGCTGAGGGAAGAACAGGTCTAGACCCACTTCTTTTCTGAAGTGGTAAAGCAAAAACACGTAAAAACAACATTCAACTGTGGAATTTTCCTTTTTGACACAGCTGAAGCAACGCTCACATTTAGGCCTTTAGAAGGGGGGGGGAAATAATCCCAACCCAGACTGTAAGTCCTTAACATTTCTAAGAGGCACGGATGTTTCAACAAGCTGAAAACTGGCTCTAAACAAGCGCAGAGCCACGTCAGCTTTAAAGTAAACAAACATCAAGGCACACAGCTAAAATCTGATTTTAAAGCTTTCACCCGACATGAGATGGAGAGGACAGCTGCAGAGCTGAAACTCACTCTAAGAGCTCAAAGTTGGATTTCTTTTCAAGGCCTTTCGCATTCATGTCTTTATAGAACCTCCTGTGGAAGAAAGAGGAAAAAATAATAATGCAAGAACCAAACAAATGATTGAAGCATGCATCATTTGTTTCAGCTGATATGTAGTTTTATCTTTCCTGTGATGTGAACAAAGTAAGCGAAGGTAAGAATTGCATAATATCTGAATTCTAAGAAAGTGACTCACCTGAGCTCCAAACAGCCGAGCTGGAGCGCCATCCCATCACTGACTTTACTTGCGTGATATTGCATGTAGTCGCTCCGTACCTGTGAGGAAATGTTACGAGCTGTAACCAAAGTCAAACCGAACCCTTTCATAGTAAACGGACAATATTTTTATGTTTTTTTTCCCCAAAATATTTCTACTAGAATAAACGGTTGCCAAACTGATGGTAGAGAAAACATTGTTAAAAAGGTTTTCACGGAAATTGTTGTTTTTGTCGAATGGAGTAGTTTTATGATGACAGTAATAAACTTTGGTCTGGGCCATGTTTGAATTTTAGCTCAAATTTCAAAGTTTCTCTTTTATTTCTCCAAACTGAAGTTGTTCAAAAAGCTATCTACGACGGGTAAGATATTTATTGCTCAAGCCCCATTTCAAAAAGTCTGGATTGTCCTTTTAAACACAAACTGTTTACTTTATTTTCAATTTTATTCGGATGAAATTATTTCGGTAAACTACAAAGTGACAGACACTCTCATAATGACTGTAGAAACACTGCTTTTAACATTTAACATGTTACTGATAAAAACAATAAAAAAATTAATGCATACCTGTTGGTAAAAATAGAGAAATGTGGATCTGTCCTTTTTAAATTTTTCCAGGAAATTAACTGGAATGTATCTGATTCTGAGGTCATACCTGTTACTCAAGAAGAACAGAAACATGATGGATTAAGATTTTAATATCTATTAAATGTCAGGCAGTAAATAATATGGATGATCAGTTCGTACCTCCACTCAGCCTCCACATGAAGGCTCTCGTAGCGCTGCTCTACCTCACCGACGGTCAGGTCTGGATGGAGCCAGTGAAGTTCTTCTGACTTTAAGTGCTTCAACATGAGACCGTAGCATCCTTCAAATTCAATGTTTGGACCCAACCGACCGCTGGCCAGGATGGAGTGAATGATGGCCTGAGGGGCAAAGAAAATATTTTCCTCGAGTCATTCTTTTTTTCTTCTGTGATACTTTGTGATTGACATTGATCATGTATTCTGTACATCCTGTGCAACAAATTTTGGATTTTGTGATTCTTTAAGGTTTCAAAACTTTCAACTTCATTTGCAAATATTTTCCTCATAGAAATGCAGATCGCTTCAATTCATTTGCTCTGCTTTTGTCTTTTATGCTCCTATTATCTAGTGTGTTACTTTAAGCTTTTTGTTAACTTTCTGCTGCTTTTAGCTAGTGTTTTACTACATTTAGCTCACATTTTGCTATATTTAGCTTTCAGCCTTGTAGCCAGCCTTTTGCTAATATGGATTTTAATTAGCCTTTTGATACTATTTGTTAACCTTTTGTTACTTTTACCTTTTAGTCTCTGCTAATCTAGCTTTTAGTAAGCATTTTTCCTACTTTTACCTTTTAGCTAGCTGTCTGATGCTTTTGGTTTTTAATTATTCTATTGCTGCTTTTAGGCAGTAACTTACCACTTTAGGATTTTTGCTAACATTTTGTTATTTTTGGCTTTCAGCTAGCCTTTTAACTAACCTTTAGTTACTATAGCTTTTAATTACCTTTTTGCTACTACTTTTAGCTTTACCTTAAAAGCACAGTGTGTAGTATTTGTTGTTTTCAGCGACATCTAGCGGTTGAATCATCCTCCCTGGTCCTCCCCCCACCCCCACCCCCCCGCTTCCAAATGCAAAGGAGTTGCTACGGTGTCTCTCAGGTGTCAAAAACCTTTGATAATTCCAACCGCGATGTCTCCCAGCAGCTTCAGGGCTAGTGATGTTTCAAGTGGTAAGATTATGAGCTTTAATAAGTAAAATTATCCCAGCTACAATGACAGACAACAAATATTACATTTATAGTATTACAACTAAAACCGTTTTTGACGCCACCACCGCAGTTTGTCCTTCATGAGCCTTCGTAGACAAGATGGCGGCTGCCTGTGTGGCGACCCGCGACCATGGAGATATAAACAGCTTTTTATAAGGTAAAAATAATAAAACAAGGTCTTTGTCTGCAATGATTAGACATGTTTTTATTATTGTCATTAGTGATTATCTCAATTTCGGCTAAAAGACTTGACAAAATCCTACACACTGTCTTTAAGTAAACTTTGTTGCTTTTAGCTACCATTTAGCTACTTTTAGCTAGCCTTTTGGTATTTTGCTTTTAGCCAATGCTTTGCTTCTATTAGCTTTAATAACTTGGTTTTCATTTCACATCTTTAATTTAACTTTTATTTATCTGATTATTATGTTTTACTACGCTCTCACCTTGATTTTCCAGGAGCTGTCACATTTGACCAGTTTGAAGTTTTTTCCCAGGTTGTTGTTGATGCAGAAGCAGACTTTGAGGATTTTTACTGGCCCTCCTTCTCCTGGCAGCTGGGCCTCAGTGCTGGGCTCTGGGTCACTTTGCTTTGGAGCGGGCACCTTCCAGGCCAGGGTGTCCCCGGACATCACCTCGTACATCGTCACAGCTGGGTCGGTGTCATCATATCCACATCATCCTTTAACCTAAAGCAAAGGGAAAAAATTAAACACACCGAAAACACAACTAACATCCTGTGAAATTAACAACATGCAAATCTGTTCTGTGACTTATTTTGTTGTAGTAATACAGCCATGCTACTTAAAGCTTCTCATCCTGTGATCCTGTGCCACAGGGCTGCGATGATTCACATTTATCTTTAGATAACATTCCTTCCATACTTCAAGTCAGGACCTGCACTTTTCGTCAAGCACAACTGTGGAAACGCAGTCCTGCATTACTTCAAATGACTCAAACAAAACCAAGAGTTCCTATTATATTCACACTAACTGACATTTCATAACATTTCTTAAGTAGCAGCCTTTAGCAAGACGATCAGGAACAACAAGTCTTTGCAAACCGAGACGACAAAACAAACCGCAGGATGGTGGACTGATGCTAGTAGCCTGTTAGCTCTAATCAGCTTTGAGTTTTAGTTCATAACAAGGAGGGGAAAAAACTAAATTATATGTATATATTAGGGGTGCAACAATACAGATTTTTAAAATTTATTTCATCAACTTGTCTTCTGAAGATGCTCTGTGTTGAAGGCTCTGGATCTGTGTTCGACTACTCCTCCTAGGCTGCACTGTCGAGCACAGATCCATTAAGAACAAACTGGGCTCAAACTTGCGGCCTCGAGACACAACCATGGAACTGACCTACCACAGCTTCTTTTTGTTACTGTTTCATTTCAAACTTCCCCACCACTGTCAACCATTTATATAAGTAGTAATACAAATATTCCACTTTTACTGGGAACAAATTCAATATCATGATACTACTACCACCATGCTTCCCATGCACACAGGGACTAAAAGATGAGAAAATGTGTTGTTTTTATCCTTTTGTTGTCTCATAAATTCAACTATTTAAACTAATCTGAATGTAGGTAAGTGAATGATCATATTTTCATATTTTTTAGAATAATTTAAAGACAGTAATTGCAACTGCAGGCCTGCAAGCTGCAGGGTTTGAAAAATGTTACAATAGCTAAGATCAGAATATTCTGTTAGTTTTCCTTCAGGGGAGCCTGATCCTCTTAGCTTAGTCCGAGCCACAATATTGTGCATTTACACCAACCGGCTCAGACTTCCCGGCATGCTTATCTCTTCGCTTATGAGAAGTGTATGCCAGCCGGAGGGGATTGTTCTCCAGCCACCAGGTTTGAACAAACACGGTCGCAGTCGGTGACTGTAAAAAGGGTCGTAAAAGTTTATAAAAACACACCTGGAAGCCATCCGCTCAGGTGAAAACTTCACCTTCACTGAACTTGTATGTTAAGGACAAACAACAACTAAGAAGACAGAAAGAAATCTATGAAATACATCCAGAAATACAACTTTTTTTTTCTATGAGTGAAGACATGTTGACTCAGCAGATTAAGAGTAAACTAAGTGCTTAAAAGCGGCAGATAAGATTTCTGCTTGAGAAAAAAAAACCCACCTGACAATGCTGCTCAGGAGAAAAATGCCCTCTTAGTATCATAAAAGAAACTCCATGATGTTAGTCCGCTGTCGGGTTGTGTTAGTTTCTCTCAGGGCTTTTTTTTTCCCACCCCTGTTAGGTTGTGTTCTGTTAGCCTGAGGCCATAAATTCCCCAGCAGGACGGTGTGGGAGTGTTCTGTGTGCTGGTGTGTGCGTGGAACGAGAGAGGGAGCAGGAGAGGAGAGATGAGTGGGAAGTATGGGCAACATGTTGCCCCATCATTTGGGTGTGTGTGTGTGTGTGTGTGTGTGTGTGTGTGTGTGTGTGTGTGTGTGTGTGTGTGTGTGTGTGTGTGTG